CATATATATATATATATATATATATATATACATATAATTGTAATATCGTATTATATAAATTTTAATTAAAGAATATTTATTAATTATTACTTTATACTTTTGATTTAGGGTGTTCGTAAATCTGGACAATCTGACAGAAACGACGACGAGGTCGATGAATATTATCAAGCTTCTGGAAGCCGACACACTAGAAGTCAGTTTGTAAATGCGTTCATTCGTCGGGGTAGGCAAAAGATGATTGAAGAGGCTCAGAGGATACAGACTGGTCATGCTGGCCAGACATGCAGTTCGAGACTCCCCGCACCAGTACATGATGGTCAGCAGAGATATTATTTTGATGGTCAGGCTGGCCAGCCAGGTAGTTCGAGACTCCTCGGACCAGTACAGTATGGTCAGCAGGGATATTATTTTGCTGGCCATACAGACAGTTCAATACCCCCGCATCAGTACCGTACGGTCAACATGAATATCCTGATGAGTCGATAGCCCCGAGGGCCTTCAGATGAGTATGACAAGTACGACTCTTCATATGATCAGGACGACCCGCACGACCCTAGAGGGGGCTCCCACCACAGCCTCTAGCACAACCTGCATGACCTATGGGTCCTGCACGGTCTGTTCCTCCTGCACGACCTGCTCCTCCACAATAGCCTGGGTCCGTTTAGCTGGCACTAGATCCTCATGTAAATAATTTACGTATTTGTTGGTGTTTAACATTAAATATTTTGACTTAATAATAACAAATTATCGGTACTATTAGTGACATTATGTGATATATATATATATATATATATATATATATATATATTTCTATGTTAGATTCTAATGAAGATACTAGCAAACGATCTAGGACTGAACATGAGGCAACCTGGGTCGTTAGAGGTCTAGTGCTCGGTGGGCCCATTTATAGGAGTGTCATCCCTAGCTTTCTAGGGCACGTAGCTCCCGAATGTGGACTGGAGAGATTAGAGGCATACTGAAATGCCAGAACAGACAGGGAGCGCTGAACAATCTGAAGAATTGGTATGGAGAACAAAGAGGTGCAGACTTAGCATGATAGACGGGAGTGGGCTGCAAACAATGAGGAAGCATGTGTATTGGCTGTGAGGTGGGCTCTCATGGAAGCTGACAAAGCAGGTTGAAAGAAAATTGAGTGCAGTGTGATCAAACAGAGAAGTGGTGCAGAAATTGAGTTCAAAATGTACCATACTCTCATCTATTTGTGTTGTATTTGCTGATATTGTTAGTTTGCAGAAGACTTTTGATGTTTGTATATTTTCTTTTAGACCTTAGCTGCTTTTGATTTTAGTTAGTTTGTTTGGTAGCCTTGATGTCTTGGAAGGGGAATGAACGTATTGTACCTGTTGATATGTACCTGTTGATATGGCTCATATATTGACAAAGGAAGGAGGCAGGTCGATTAGTTGGACCGGGGGTGTGGGGGCGGAGCCCCTGCGGTATAGACGGGGGTGCGGGGGCA